TTCCTCCACCGTCCCTTCGGGTCAGTTATCCCCCCGTCTCCCGCCCTCCATCCTTGACTTCTAGTTATCATTATTGCTTGATGAAACTTTTTTGGTCGCCGATCCTCGCAGCAAGTAAAGCCGCAGCAATAGCCCAATCATGTTGACAATTCTGATAGGGATAGAAAGCAGTTGAGTTTTATTTGGGGTATCTCCAATGGCCTTGATGATGAGCGACTGGAATTGAGAAATGGCAGCATTAGGGACAAGGCCGGCAGTGGTGATGAGGGTCAAAAGGTAGGTTTGTGGATCCTGAAACACTTCTTTAAATTGGTTGAATTTGAAATGTTTATTTTCAATGCCTGTTTGGTTTTCTCGAAGGCGTTCAATTGCAAATACTTTCTCCGCTTGGGTTAGCCGGGCCGTCATAGGGTTATCCGGGAGGAAGAGGACGACAAGAATGCCAGTGAATATTGTGATGAGGCCAAAGATAAGGAACATGACCTGCCATGGCCTGAATCTTTCACCAGTATAAAATAAAAGGCCATAGGCACTGAGGGCTCCAATTATAGTGGCAGTTCCGGTTCCAGAATACCAGAATCCCATACGTGCCGGCTGCTCTATTCCTTAGTTAATAACTGTGATAGTCTCAGATAACTCATAAAATATCAACAGGGAGCATACCCTTTTTCTTATACCACATGCCCGTGATTAGGATTAAGCTAGATGGACTATTAAAACAAGGTATATGAAGTGGGAGGGAGGTCTCGGTACCTTGGGGCAACAGAAGCTTCAAAGCAGCCCAGTAGAAGTCGGAGTACTAGAAGGCCAGCAAAATTTTTGGCAGCACAATTGAGAGTTACCACGGTTCCCCATAAGATAACTATAGACAATTAGAATAAAGCTTTCATATAATGGTAACCCAGAAAACACTTGCGATTCGCCCCAAGATACTTTGCTGTCGGGAACCTCTGCATAAGATATCCAGTGGGAAGCTCGAAAAAGAGATAGGAAACATAAAAGGCTAGCCCGAGGTATGAATACTGGTTTGTATCCAAGTGGGCATCCTCTAGTAGCCCCATGATGGATGCGAAATTGACTACGTAACCAGTTAGTACCATGCTTGAGAGACCTGCATTGAAATGAGCAGCATACTGAGAACTTTGTCCACATATTGAAGGTTATAGCATGCCCACATCAGAGGAACGATCATCCAGTCGATTTTCCGCAGTAGAGCTTTTTCATCGACCGAGCTTAAGTCAATGTCTTGCTGGTGCAAAAAGTCATAGGCGGCATCAGCATCGGCCGGCCGAGGATTGGTCTTCTCATCCATTGCGGCTGCAATGAAATGGAGTAATTGACACGCTTAAGGCCTCCTTTTGACCAGAAAATGAGAGAAAGCACGGATATCTGAAATCTGGTGAGGAGAAAATCTCGTCGAACGGAATTGGAGACGCGGAGCTGGCTGGAATTTATAAGGACGCCATAATTCCAAAAGGATGAGGGGCAACTGTAAAGGCCCAGGTATGTCCACCACTCAAACGATGGTTGACGAGGCAAGGCAAGGAAGGAATCCATAATTGCCGGATGGTACGCCGATCGGTATAGGGTCAGCGTGTGGATTCCCTTTGTAGCTTCATGAGTACAGGGAATGCCCGATGCAATGCAACAGAATTTCTGCAGCAAGCCTTGAGGCTTGACCGCTGTGAAGAAACAGGGCGTTAATTCGGCCGCTATATGCACGAAGGATGGGAGTTCAAGCTGAAGCCGATGCATATATCCGGGTAGCGGATCGAGGTGTTAGGGGCGAGTGGGTTTGCCGTCTAGCCTTAAAGGACCACGAACGTCTTAGCTTGAATAGCTGAAGATCTGCATTTTAGTGAAGATCTGTCACGCGGAGAGAGGATCCAAAGAAGGTGGTTCCGTTTAAAAGGTGAAAAGAGCCCTTGATGGTTGAACGGTGGGAGGCCAGGATTGGTTAGCCCCAGCGTAGGATTAAGATGACTAAAACAAGTGAGTCAAGATGAATCACCTTTTTAATTTTTCTCATTCGATTGATCCGGAGATAGTTTATGGGAAGATGGGACATAACCAATGATTGATGCTTTTTTTATGCAGCTAGGTAAATTCTTAGCAAAAATGCTTGTCCAGACATAAGATGGGGAGGCGGACGGGTAGGCGGACGTAGCTCCCGGATGAACACTATCCAAGGCTCCCATGCTGCGTCCGTGAGGGGGAATCTATGCAACCAAAAGATAAAAAAAGCTCTTTTGCCCATGGCCAACAGCAAAAAACAGATATCAAAACACAGAAACATCATGAACTACTCGAAATGCCAACATCGTATCGTTCGTTCAATCATCAAAACGGGTCGTCAAAAATGGTCTACCAAAAAATTAAATCCGCAGACAGGGTGGGTAGCACATTAAAGAAGCAACCCTAAGGAACAAGGAGATGCGGAGAAAATTGGAGAAATTTGCTAGCCTCGAAGCTGAGAATTATTACCAGGTTGACATATAGCCGAGCTTTGTAGGCTGCATTGGTCATTGGTCCACTGGCCATTTTCCTGAGGTTGGCTAAAATTATCCCTGGCTCCTGGCATGTGGGCAAACCAATCGTAATCAGGTTCGTTGTCGCTGTCACCCATCTCGTCCAGCAAACGGTCAATTTCATCACCAGCCTCTTGCTCTAGTCTGGGCCGGCTGCAGTTTGCATACCGAGCTTCCCCACTATGTTCTGCAAAGCTAACACGTTTGGTCTGGGGCGGGCCCCGTTCTCGGGGTTCGTAGCTAAAGGCCATGCCAAGAGCTGGGGCCACAGAAGAAGTTGGAGCTGATGTATTTTCGCTCACGGAGGGATATTGGAATGTGTCTTGTGAATTGCTGGGCGGATTGGTCTGTGGCCGCGAATCATTGTAGTACCCCGCATTTTCTGGGCTTCCCATGAAGACAAGTGTCTCGACTGCATCCTGCTCCATAATTGTTTTTTCGGTAGGAGTGCAGTGTCTTCCAAGAATAGCTGTGGTTGCAGATGGCGGAGCTTTAAATGAAGGTTGAAGGGGCTGCGGAGGAGTGGCTGGAACGGGACAAGACCCCTGAGTGCCTATTACGGAGGAGCTCGAAGATTGTTGTGAAAACGATGGGACTTTGAACTTTTTAGGGCTCGTGATGTTTTGGTTTACTCTCCGCTTTGTATGAGCTCCATTGCCCGGAACTATATTTGCTGGTGGAGCTAGGCGGGGGATTTGCTGGAGGCCATTCGGAGTTGAACGCTCATAGGATAGTTTGGAAGGAATTGAGCCCATCGATAAGTTGTGTCGATGGTAGGATCTGGATGAGCCGTTCATCTGTATGCTCTGTGTTATATCAGGCCTCGGATTGCTTTGTCCAGTCGCGATCTTTAACACTTGTGCCGCAAGGTCATGCTCTCCAACAGAACCGTTGATATTTAGAGGTTGACTTGATGGTGGATGGCCATTGGATTGTATAGACGCGTTAATTCCTCTTGGCGAATGCATCTTGCTAGACACGCTCAACTGCTTGCCACTTGGGTTGGATTTCCAATCCTTTTCCACCTTTGCTGCTGCCCATGACAATCTTGAGCGGAGCTGAGCCGATATCTATGGACCGTAGGATTAATTCACGGCCCAAATGATCAAAATGGGGGGAAAGAAGGAAATCAAGGATATACTCACTTCGGCGATACGATTAGAATGTGAATCAGTACTCGCTGATCTTGAATGATACCTAGTTCCGGGAGTAGCCGATGCAGAGAATGGCCGGTCTGGCGATACCGAACATTTCATACTGCCGCTTGACGTTCTTTTCTGTCCCGGTGTGAGCTGAACAGTACTCCTAGCACTTGGTGGACTGTGGAAAGAGGTAGATGATAGTGTATCATGGCCAGAGTTGGCCCTTTCCAGTGGCCGAGGAAATGAGGTCGTCTGTAACTGGGACAGTAACCGACGTTGATCTACCATCTTAGGCTGGGAATTTGTGCTGGAGTTCGCGCCCGGATCCGTTCCAAATTGAAGAGAAGATGACGTCGATGGAGGGGAGTTTGAATCGCTGGCGTCTGCCACGGACGATTGTGTGAGGTCACTGGCGGTTGCCTTCAACTGAGGAAAGACACCATGCACGCCAGATAACGCAGTTGGAAAATGTGTGTTCATGTTAATCGGGTCGGAACGCGCTCTGTGGTCACCCATGGCGAACTCGACGGTGCCGGGACAGACTGATGTCTTATCCGGGCCTTATCTGTCCGAGTGGCGGTTGGTAGATCGAGGATAGGGTAGAGGAAAGAAGACGACGTCGTGGTTGCGGGAAGAATTATCCTCGAGGAGGCTCCCTTTAATTTTTCCGTTCTTTTTGTTGACTCTAGCGAGCGATAGCGGCCTGACGTAACTGGCTGGAGCTACCAAAGCCGCATGGTGAGAGTTGTTGGTGAAGCGGTTCAGTGTGGCTTCGAGCCGTGGTAGTGCATGTTGTCAGTGACTCGAGTAAATCCGACGTCCAGCGAACAGCCCGCGCAACACAGGGGTCAGCTCCTGAGAGCCAAAACACACCCTGCTGTCACCGGTCTGCTTCCCACTAAGCCTCTGGGTTTTCTTTTTCTCCCTTTTCTTCCTGTCAGCTCGTTTGTCGCCCTTTTTGCTTCTTTTTGACGTGGGATGAAGATGAAGTTGAAGATCTTTTAGACGCGTCGCGCCGGCACGTGATGAAATTGGTCACGTGTATATAAAAGTACCGATCTAGGAAGGTACATGAAGTCCTAAAGTAGCCGCGAGCCGCGAGCCGCGGAAGGGAAGGAAAAGAAGATATCAAAGACGATAGGACAGGATAATAGGAAGGATTGAAACGATCTAGTTACTGCTTTTCCTGGCCAGCCTACAGTTACGCCATGTATACAGAAATATATACAGAATGCCTGCTCCAAAAAGAAAACCTGGATATAGATATGGATACACCCTCACTTTCTCTTCTTAAACCGGCTCGAAGCTCCATCTGCTTCATTCTTCCTCTTCTTGCCTTCTCGGCTCCAGAACTCATCCCGCTCTTTCTTCTCTCGAGCCTCCTTTTTCTCCTGGTTCTCTGCGACCTTTGCTCGGTAGACTTTCCGCCTCTCTTCCTGAGCGGCCTGTCGCTTAGCAACCTTCTCGTTTCGAAGCGTAGTGAGCTTCTGCATGAGATCGCGGGCCCTCTTCTCTTCTCCTCCAAGGACAACAGCACGTTTCTGCATGTACGTCTCCTTCTTCCGTGGACGCATCTTGGTAACCTGAGATTTGAATGGGAGGTCGGCAGCCAGCTGTTTGGGTACTCTCAAGGGGTTAAAGTGTCTGGCCTGCCGCTCAATTTTGCGGTAGGCAGAGTCTTTCTCTAGTGGGGTAGGAATATCCAGGTCACGACGAACTTCTCCAGTTAGACGCATGCCTTGCCAAGTCGCGCCTGTGCCACTTTCAGAGTCCTTGTAGTCAAGAAGGTTGGTTACTGGGTTGTAGTAACGAGCAGGCTTGACGGGATACCAAGTTCGAAGAAAAACAATGTCGCTCATCAGGATCTTATCCTCAAAGGTGGCACGGAAATGGCCATCTGGTTTGCTCAGAGCGCGCTTGATCTGACCTCGAATGCCAGAAACGGTACGGATGGCGGCTCCTTCAAACTTGGCAATTTCAAGAGACGAGTTGAACATATTCTTGATAAACGCGGTGTTTCGGAAAATCTTGTAAGGCTGGCCGGTGAGCTTCAGCTTCTTGACAATCTCAGTGTTTTCGTCGACGCTTAGAATCACACCGCTGGCAGCTATTCTGAATCCAGGATTCTTATTGGAAAAGGATTGAACACAGCAGAAACCGGTGTTGGGAGCGACTAGGGGCCCATAGAAGGTGCCGAAGCAGTGCATATGCTCGGGTGTATACTTTAGCATCCTATTGCGGGTTCGAGAGTCTGAGATGCTATAGACCGGCATTGTCTGGAATCGCCGCCAGCCGAGGGAGAAGATAAGAGGATCATTCGTCTTCAGGATCTTCTTATGCCAACGATGGCGCTTAATTCGGACCTGGACAAAGCCGAATCGATCCTCAGTAGGCGCCAGACCTCCAACAATGATCGGGAATCGGGGGTTGAATCCCTCAGAGAACTCGCAAGGAACATTCTCTAGTACAATTCTAGCATATGTACCAGCTTTGTAGCCTTCGGCTCTTGCTCGTGACAGGGCGTCAAGGGCGTCAAATTCAGCACGGTTGATATCAGCCTGCTTCTGAAGTGCGGCCTTTTGTGCATCATACCATTCATCTTCTCCGAACTGCTCTTCTTTTTGAGACTGTCCACCAGCTCTCGCCCCGTCCTTCGAATTGGCGAACCCTTCTCGGTCCTCCTCTTCGAAGCGAAGCTTCAGCTCTTCTTTTCGCCTTGCATTACGCTCACGCTCGGCGTTAAGGTCTTCGGGCTCGCTCTCCCCTTCATCTGATTCCCCTTCATTATCTTTGCTATCGCCCCCGAAGACTTCGCCGGTTTCAAGGTCTGCAAATGCTCCATCTCCTTCATCATCGGAATCCGTGTCTCCAAACCCGTCTTCTTCATCATCGTCCTCGTCGTCACCAGACCCTTCCTTGCCAGATCGGTTTTTAGAGAACTTGACGCTCGCGAACCGTCGGCGAAGCGCATCGAGGTTATCCTTATCTTGCCACTTCTTCTCCAGCTCGTCGTAGTCGTAAACAGGAATGGTCCGGTCATCTAGCACACCCTTTTCGGCATTTGTCTTCTTGAAAAAGCCCTCGGCTTCATCCTCAACATCATTTTGGTCATATTCCATAGCATCTTCACCGCTCCACCGCCGGGCCACATCTGCCGAATTCACAGAGTCGTCGTATAGCATGCGAGTTAGCTCAGCTATCCGATAAGGAGGCTTTTTGCTAAACATGGCCTTTGCATTGGCAGCCAAATTTGCTTTCCAGCGCGTTTCTCCATCGTCGTCCTCTTCATCCTCGTAGTCGCTAGGAGCGCTTTCAAGTTCTTGGTCCTCAACCGATGATATTGAACCAAGGTCCGAATCACTATCAGCGAACGCAAGATCCTCCCCGTTCTTACCGTTGGAAGTTCCATTCTGTTTTTCTCGGAACTTAGCAGCAAAGTCGACGCCTGGCACGTCGTCATCTGAGTCCTCTTCAATATCACTTCCATATTGTTCCTCTTCCTCTTCATCCTCCTCTCCCGCGCTGTCTAGGCCTTCGTCCTCGTCATCTTCTAGATCATGTGCATTATCATCACCTTCAATAAACCGGGCTTTTCTCTTCTCGTTTCTGCCCAGATTTTCAATTCCTTCAGGGTTAATGCTTGCGACAACACCGCTATCTCTAAACAGTTTAACTCCGGCGACCGTATCTCCTAGCAGCTTCCTTTCCCCCTGAAGCCCGATAATCATCTGTTCTCCTAAGCCTCGTTCTTCAGTCTGTTCATCGCCATCGTCTCTGTTGAACGTATTGGTTCTGACATCGATGTACACGGCGTCTTTATCAACCAGAACACCACCGACATCTGCCATAGGTGCAAAGAGAAGTTTCTGTTTTTCACCTAATCGTTTTCGCCCACTCTTTCCTGCTGCCTTTGCCATTGCTTGATCCATAGCAGGCGTAGGACATGGGTCAGGCAGGGCTTCAATTGAAGAAACACTGAGATCCCCAACTCCTGGAACATGTACCCTTGCCCCGATAGCCGGGAAGTTCGTGCCTCGTAGGTACCCGTAGAGAGCAACAGTCCTGTCACACTTTGGATTCTCTTCCTTGAGTGTTGGAGGGGTGATGTCCAAGAACCTATCCGCTAAGCAGTACGGATGCGAGTTTCTCCATATAAGTGGTCGCGGATTCTTCATGACAGATAAAAACCGGGAAAGGTTATGAATCTCTCGATCTGGATAGCGCCCATTTATGACTCCGGAAAGATAGAAGAGTTTCGCGCCCTGGTATAACTCGCTCCAGAACCGATGTTTTAGTCTCTTCTTCGCCGTGCGCAGCGTGCTCTGTTTCTTGAACAGGTCAAGATGTGTAAGAATGCCAAAAACGTTTCCGGGCATTCCACTTGCGGACAATGCATTAAGAAATTCCATGGTTTCCATCTCAAATCCATAGTTCCCGTCTATCATCAGCAACACAATGTCAGCGATCTTTGCGACATCTATCATGCTCGCTAGAGAGTCGGAGGGACATTCTAGGAAAGTAAGCCTGCGCTTTTTCGACGTAACGACCGTCAGAGGACCGGTGATCGAGGTAAGGGAATGTTTTGAGTATCGTTTGATCAACGACTTAATGAGAGTAGTTTTCCCAACCTAGATAGATGCCAATAATTCGTTAGTTGCGCCATTCCATCGTTCTCATTAGAATGCTTCCAATTGACATACCCCCGGCGGACCAACGACTGTGACAACAATCGGCGGAGGGTCCTCAGGTAGGCGATCCACGAGCGGAACATGTAGCCTTTTTTCTTTTATCTATCCAACCGGCAACAATTAGCACTTTCAGGATTCACAATTTGTTATCCCCGCGCAAACTCGAGGTTATGTACGTACATCATGGGACCTAGCTGCCTGTCTCTGCAGCTTCCCTGGGTTATTAACGGCAAATGCCTTGGGGTTAGGACCTGTAAAATGCCACAATCATCTCAATTAGCAATTTTGATCACTTGTGCAGCTTTGCGGCATGAAATTTCAGAAGCTCAACATACCTCCATGATCCTTCTTTTTCCCCTTCTCCTTGGACTTCCGATGAGGCTTATTGGACTGGTCCTCCATGGCCAAAGAATTATTCAGGTATAGCAACCTATATTATCTCCGAGCCAGTGGAAGATTGACCGCATTCAAAGCGAAACTCCTCTATCTAAGCTTTTATCAATCTTTTTTTTTTTTTTGGCTCTGCCGACACTTTCGTTAGTCAGCTATTACATAACCAAAATCGTTACATAATTTAGAAATTAAGCGCTAGCCGCTGTGAAGTCTCGCCAGGCTTAGCCGCCAGCTTCCGCTTCCGCTCCCGCTTCTGAAGGATGCAAAAAGTCCGAAAAGTCGACAAGCCAGGGACCTCGAGCACGACGAACCGTAGCCACGTTGATTGGAGTGCACGGCTCAAGCACCGCATCAACCATGGCCCGAGGACATCACCACACCGCCAACTATGCCGTCAAGGTTTCGGCAATGACGCTCTCGCCTATCAACCCAATGCTGATGGAGACTTGGTGGCCAAGTTATCCAGTCAGAGGCTCGCACAACATGCATTTAGGCCTGGCTGCTCGTGTTTTCCGGTAAGACTTGATTTATCAGCCAGTGGGCAATGACTACAAGATGGAATGGCATCCTAACCATCCAGAAGTTGGCAATATTCAATATAAATGCAATTTTTGGAATAATTTTGTATATACGGAGTATATAAAATATATATAAACGCCGACCATGAGCTCAAGAGGTGCTTCCGCCACTGGCCGGCCGGCTACGGTCTCTAACCGTGCTAGCAAAGTCTCAGAAGAAACTGCGGCAAACAGGATGTGGGATGTTTTCACCAATCTATATGATGCCACCACCAACAAGGATGGGTTCGTGAACGTCGGAGTGGCAGAGAACTTCCTTATGCATGGAACATTACTTGAATATATCCGCAAGCACTCCGACTTGCCTCCGCAGTATCTGACATACAATGATGGAGGCGATGGGTCCCGCAGGCTGAAGACGGCTGCCTCACGGTTCCTGAACCGTCATTTGAAGCCTGTGGTGCCGCTGGAACCTGAACATCTACTGGTGACTAATGGGGTATCGGCCGCCATCGAGCATTTGGCGTGGGCCTTTGCAAACCCCGGCGAAGGCATCCTGCTCGGCCGACCCCATTACGGAGCGTTTATACCGGACATGACATCTCGTCCCGAGGCAGAGGTGGTTCCGGTATCGTTTGACGATATAGATCCCTTTGAAGCTCGATGTGTGACCAAATACGAACGAGCAATGATGGACTTTGAAGCACGAACAGGCAAGCGGGTACGGGCATTGATGCTGTGCCACCCGCACAACCCGCTCGGACGATGCTACCCCCGCGAAACGATCATTGAGCTGATGAAGTTCTGCCAGCGGTACCAGATCCATCTTATCAGCGACGAGATATACGCCATGTCCGTGTGGGAGAATACCATTGACACGGCACCAGGCACACCGCCACCAGTAAAGTTCATCTCGGCCCTCTCGATACCCACGCAGGGGCTGATCGATGGCAACCTGCTGCACGCCCTATGGGGGATGAGCAAGGACTTTGGCGCCAACGGTCTGCGGGTGGGCATAATCATATCTCAGTCCAATCCGGAGCTGATGGCCGCCATCAAGGGCCCAACGCTGTACTCGTACGTTTCAGGGCTATCCGACCACATTGTCTCGAGCATTCTTGAGGACGAGGCGTTCACCGATCGGTACATCGCGGTCAATCAGATGAAGTTATCTGAGTCCTACGCCTTCGTCGCTCAGGCGATGCGGGACCACAACATCGAATACGCGGTGGGCTGCAACGCCTCGTTCTTTGTGTGGGTGAATCTAGGCAAAGCGTACCTGCGAAACAAGCGGGTGCCGATGCCAGCAGACCTTACTCGCACGGTAATGGACGAGCTGATATCGAAGCGGGTGTTCCTTGCTGACGGAACGGCGTTTGGGTCGGAGAAGCCAGGCTGGTTCCGCATTGTGTTTTCTCATCCTCGGCCGTTCTTGGATGAGGCGTTGGGTAGAATCATGGCAGCCATAGGGGAGCCGTACAAGCATGCATCGAAGCCCGAGTGTAGCGTCCGCGCAAAGCTTTAGCAAGGTAGCATTAGCATTGGCTTTGGCCTTTGGATCTAGACCCGTTGTTTGCTGCTGTATATAACGAACTGGGCCGGGTGAAAGGGGGAGGCAGGAGGGGAAGGGTGAAGAGTGGAAGAGCAGGATGTTTGTTTTTTTTTTTTTTTTTTTTTTTTTCTTATGGGGATGTACCCAGTGCATGCATGGGGGTTTTCGTTGTCTAGCTGGAGCTGTTGTAGCTGGTAACTAACTAACCCCGTCCCCGACTCCGTCTCGGCCTTTTCTGTGCTACGCTCTAGACTTTCACCCTCGTACGACTAGCCACATGGCAACAACGACAAGAGGTGGTACAAGAGTATATTTTAGATATCGTAGCAAAGCGAGCGATGGCTGAAACCCGCCATCGCACAGCCAACCCACGCACAGCGTTGCCCTTAGCTTCCGTCTCCCGCCTCCCCCTTTCCCCAGGTGACGTGACGGTCTGGACGCTGAAAGCCGCTTCTTCTAGACAACCTGGTTATCTTTCTGATAGATATGGATGGATGAATAATACCCGGGCGGAGGGTTACACTTATTTATCCCATCCCGCTGCATGTTCTTCTCCGTCAAGGAGCGGGACTGGCCCTGCAGCACCTGTCGAGCGGCCACCTCCGCATGGGCGAAAGGCGACTTCCATGCGCCAAGCGAAGAGCGACAGTCCGAGTTGCATGCTGTGCGTTTCGCATTGACGATGCGACGAGGACAGCAAAGGGTCCGTTAAGCGTGGCTATAGACAGATAGATCTACATGTAAGAAGTACGGTGAAAAAGAACGGCGTCCAAAGCTAGCGAGGTATTTTGAATTATGTTTTTTATTTTTTTTTATTTTTCAGTTGTATAGCCTATTTATGATTAAGAACATGCTTCATGCTTTGTATATGTCTTGTCTTAAGAGCATATACTGTAGATCCTCTCGACCATGCCCGGCCTTTTATTCCAGCAGCCAGGAGGGAGAGCTATCTCATCTCGACGAGAGATGTAAGCAAGCGCGGTGGGGTAGATATGCAAGAGTCAAGAGTGGTGATAGATGCGATGCAGGGAGTAGCCGAGAGAGGAGTAAGAAAGAAAAGGAGAAGGCCGAGGTATCATCCGTCATCACATCGTGGAACGCCGTGCCAATCAATAGAGAAATCCACCCAAAGTAGAACAAAGAAAAACATGAAGAATGCTAGAGACGCCTTTTGTGAAGTATGCCGCAACAGATGGAAGAAAAGCAAGGGTATATTATGCAAGCAGTTTTGGTAGTGGTCGTGGTAGAGCTAGGATGAATGCCTTAGAAAGCAGCAATCATGGTCTGGGCGGTCCTGGCAGGGTTCCTGGCAGGTAGGAAGAAGCCCTGCTCGACAAAGGAAGACTGTTCTTCGGCAGACAGTCTAGGGCTGGAAGGTTGGTCTGCATGTATGTCCTTGCCAACAGCCTTCTGCGGGACAGCCACGGCAGAGGCAGCGTCCGCAACGGCAGAGAAGCTGTCGAAGGTGGTGTTGGGGGGTGAGGGCGGCATGTCATCTTCAGACTCTTCGTCGGAGTCGTGAAGAAGCTCTGGCGGCTGGTGTTGTCTGGACGAGGTGCGAGTGAGGGCGAGCTCGTCTGCGTCGTCGTAGTCGTAGTCGCCGTAGTCGTCGTACTCGTCGTCGTCCTCGTCTCCCGCCAGGCCGAGGTCAAAGTCCCGGTTGGCGGTGCCAGGAGAGAACTTGATCGGGTATAGCTCGGCGGCGGCAGCGACAGGAGTAGTAGAGGTAGTGGAAGTCTGCTGGTGTCGCTTGGTGGTGATGTCGACCAGGAAGTCACCGTCTGTCTCGTAGTCTGAGGAGTCGTCTGAGTCGCTGTCGCTGCCGTCCCACTCTTCATCGTCGTCTTCTTCCTCTGTCTCGCGTCTGACAACGGTATCTAGCCATTGGATGCGTTTGGCCGAGACCGGAGCTGGAGCAGCCGTTGTAGTTGAAGTAGCAGTACTAGATCTAGACTTAATGGCGTGGTTGTACCATGCCTCCCGCTCCCTCTCGGCGTCTGCCAGGTCGAGCATGAGGTTGTCGAGCATGTTGGCGTGTCCGACGAGCAGCCGCAGGTGGTGGTCGGCCCTGGCAGCTTCGCGGGTGAGCTTGGCCCTGGCCGTGTGGGCGAGCACGTAGGTCTCGCTGAGTGACATCTCTCTCTTCTTCGGATGCATTGATGTATGTATGTATGTGTATGTACGGAGTATGCGTCTTTGTACTGGTGGTAGTGGTCAAATATGGGAAAAGGGGAGGAGAGGGAGTATAGCGAGAAAAGACGCCTGGCTGGGTCGGAGTCTTTATATAAACATGTAACTTTTTTTTTTGTATTTATTTTCTTGTTGCAAAGCCAACTTTTTTGCGTAGAGTGAGTCAGTCAGGCAGCGAGTTTTCTTGAAGGGAGAACCAAGAAAACTCAAAAAGCGGATGACTGGACTGGTCAGATAAGCCCGAGACTGACTAGTGAAGAGATCGCAGCGAAAGAGGCGCGCGAAGGGGCGGTGGGTGGAGGATCCTTGCTCGGGTTCCTTGCTGGCAAAGTCAATCTTGGGGCGTCGAGGTCGATAAATCAGGGTGAGCAGGCCGTAGTCAGTGGGAAGAGCGGTGGATGGACAGTGGTTGAAGACAGTAGTAGATAGTGAGGGTAGAGAGACAGGGAGCGATATAAGTATTAAAGTGCTCGGAAGCGTTACGGAGTCGAGATGCCGGATGAGTCGAGGCTTTACTTTACGTGAAGTGACGAGAGGCCGAAAAGGTTCCTCCGTCGTCCTGACAGCGAAGACAGCGACGACAGCGAGACCGACAGCGACAGCGCAACGACTGGGCCGGCAGCAGGCAAGTAACAGTTTGTCCGTCCGTCTTATCCGCTCCAGCTCAACCAAACCCAGGGCCAAAAAGCAACGAGAAAAAAGCAACGAAAAGATCGCGGTGGGTCGGAGGGTTTGCTACCGACCGCGTGGGCGATTCTCTTCTTCCTCTTCTTCGTCTTCTTCGTCCTTGTCTCTGGGGCTGGAACTCGCGAGTACGAGCCTAAGCCCCCCAGTTCGACTCGCTGACCAGGTTGAGCGGTCAGCCAGCAAGCCGCGAGCCGCTGGCTGGATTATTAAGGCTGCCTTCTTCTCTCTTCTCCGGTTTCTCGTTTATCGTTTAGACGTCCGCATTCCATGCCCTAAGAGAGGCCGTCTTGCGGGATGGCGTCACTCTGAGTAATGCGACGATGGCCTCATCCCTTATGCTCATTCCATCTTAACGTGTTTATTAATGGCTGCTATTATTAATGTCATGGCGGCTATTATTACATATCAACATATACCAACTGCCAACTTCGTCTTCTGCTTCTTCCTCTCCTCCAAGATCGTCGGTGAGATGGAGATAACTTCGCGTTGCATGCCCAAAAGGGGCCAAGGACAGCGCTCGCCTCAGTGCCCACCAGGCAACCCAGGCCAAGCAGAAGGTGCTCCGTAATACTATTATTATTGCTGTTAAAAAAAAATAAGAAAAATAAAAAAAAAACTCCTCTCCTCCCCATGATCACTAAATGCTAAAATGAGCTGCACGCCTTAACTCAACTCGAAACATCTTCCTTCTTTTTCTTTTTTCCTTTTCTTCTTCCTTCGCTTCTCTCATTTTTTGTCTCCTTTTCCTCCTTTTTCTCCTTAGAGCCTAGAACCTTTTCTCCACCTTAACTCCGAGCCAGCCTGATGACTCATCGGAAGCTCGGGGCGTTCGTTGGCCAGTCACATGACCATTTCGGGACTTCGGGTTCTTCTTGTCTTTCGACCCTCGGACTTAATGGGCCTTGCTGCCTCCGCGGATGACGATCAAAGACCTTTTGTGACACCGAAGGAGGCTCTAGTTCTAACCCACAGAGTGTGACGAGACCAGGTCCTGGCGTCTAATCTTCTCCCTTTACTCAACGCGGTAGTTGCTCGTTACAAGAAAAAAAGCTTCCCTGCCTCCTGCGGCTGACAGATAAGTACACTCACAGTACCTTGGTATCTCAGCCCCAAGCCCCCCAGGTGGTCCAGCTGTACCTGAGACCTTAGGGGGACGCGTCAAGTTAGGGGACATCCTAATACTACAAAGTAATCATATAATATCGTTGCCTGGCTAACGACAAAAGTGGCCTCAAGGTGTCCTCGGGGATGGTTCGACAAGTGCATATACTCGGTTATGCAGAAATCTGGCTGCCTGTGTCGTCGGCATGGCATGGGATGACGTCAGGCAAGTCAAAAAATTGTAGTTGTGCCGGCCTTCCGTTGCAGAGTGAACCTTCACGACCCATGTCCGTCCCGGATGAGTGAGGAGGGGGAAACGAAGGACCAGGACGTTATCAGATGAGTGAGGTGGTCGGAGCATCTTGGACACCTGCATCATCGGGTGCCGAGATGACGCCCATCATGCTGATGTACGATGATGCACACATACATAAAACATGCTGCACAAAACGTGTAGCTTAGCTACCTTTCGAGACGTTTCCGGTTTTTCCCACTCCGCCCGCCGTACTCCTTGCCTGTTACGGTATCCTTTGCGCCAGAGAGCCATTCTGGTCGGCGTATTCGTATACGGATGCGGACTTCCAACCAGGGGAAAAAAGGGCTGACAAAAACGGTGCGGTGGACTCTGTCTCGGTGGCCTCGGGCGCCCTGTCTCGCTTCTCCGACAGGCACGGTTTCCTTTTTTAGTAACATGAGAGACAAAACGAGGCTTAGCGAAAGAGCCGCGATCACATAAGCAGGTAGACATACATAACTTCTTAACCTCGGCTCTAGACAGTTCTTGGCATTATTGCTCTTCAATTGGCGCTATTGACTTTGTATCCAAGATATTTGATACCAAAGTGTTATTTATTACTTTTATTGAATTGACCTTATTCAGGGTTGATGACATATCATCGAATTGACTCTACGAATAAGCCGGGCAAGATGACTCCTCCTCCAGCCTACGACGCACCAGCCGACTCCCCCATCTACGCCAACAAGAACCTCTACACCCGCATCGCCAACTGCCCCTCCCGCACCCTCCAGCACTCATCCCTCATCCGCCCTCGCTCCGCCCACGCCTGGACCGTCCGCGCAGGCCAAGTATGCCGCATCACAGCCCCCCAAGGTGCCCAAGTAGGCGACCTCAACATCTGGAACGCACATAACCCCCGCGAACGCTTCTGGGCCTCGCGCACCCGCCAACTCCACCAATCCCACGTCTCTACCTTCGACCGCCTCTGGTCCTGTCTGCCCTACATGCGACCCCTCGTCACCATAACCGCAGACACCTTGTCAACATACGGCATCGACAGCTCGGGCGGACGCGTGCACGATCTCCTCGGAACCCGATGCGATCCTTACATCCACCACCTCATGACGGGCGAATCAGATGATTTCCACTGCCACTCTAACCTCGTGCGGGCCGTTGCTCAGCACGGTCTTGTAGAAAGCGACGTGCATGATGTTCTTAACGTATTCCAAGTTACCGGTCTTGATTCTAAGGGGCGGTATTTCATGGGCACCAGTCCGGCCAAAGTAGGTGATTATTTTGAATTCTTCGCGGAGCAGGATGTCCTTTGTGCGCTGTCGGTTTGTTCAGGGGGTGATCTGTCGCAGTGGGGGTGGAAGGGGAGTGAAGAGATGGGCGATACGACTAAGCCTTTGGGCGTAGAGGTTTACTCTCTTGACGATAAGGCCGTGTTGGAAGGGTGGACGCCGCTGGAGCCGTCTGCGTACAAGGGTCTACATGGTCTTCGTATGCCGGCCAGAGAGCAGGACGGTCTCGATGGTGTATAATCTTGAGCTTTGCGGGACAGAGATTTGTTCACCGTGACGATATACGAGCTAGACGTTGTTTTTTCTTATATGAAAGTAGATAGATATAGATCTGGTCGTTATGTTTGGTGGGGCGGACGGCATAACGTTATCCTCAATGCTGTAGATACGAGGGAAAAAATATCTATACGGCTGTCCCTTACATGGCTCTCATGTTATGCAAAAGCGTTATGGACTGAATATATATAGAGATGTTTCCTCCGCATTCAGACAGACATTCCAAACAGCAATCAATTAGCTACTTCATCGCAGTCTAACCAAAGTCTACACCGAGAAAAAGTCTATAACTATATAGGTCGCCATCCAAAACAATCAACCAACATGCCTCGATTCACCAGCCCATTTGACGAAAGTCACCTTTTCTACCGCGACTACAAGCCAGCAGGCTTCCCTGCTCCCTTCAGACCAGACGAAGCGCACCTCAAGAACGAAAAACAAAAGCCCACCCTCGTCTTCCTCCATGGCTGGCCAATGTCCTCCATCATGTTCGAAAAGCTGACTCTCCCGCTCTGCGAAACTTACCGATTCCGCTGCATCGCGCCCGATAGACGAGGATTCGGTAACAGCGACTGGATGGGCTCTAAACCCGTCGACAAACCAATTGACTACGACGTGTTTGCCGCTGACCTAACTCACCTGCTGGAAACTCTCGATGTCGGTCCATTTGTTTTCATCGGCGCTAGCATGGGTCCCGGGGAGGCCGTACATACATATATGAACAGTGAATACGTTCGCAAGAACTGCAGGGTATGTAAACATCTTCTCTCGCGGCAGTCGATGCTGTATAAAAGACTGACTTTTCCACCATCTAGGGAATCATTGGCATTGGAGCTGCGCTGCCGTTCCCTCTCCAAACACCTGAGAATCCAACAGCTACCTCCCGAGAGGCATGGGATGATATCCTGCATAACCTCCGCTACAACCGTCCAGCATACACCAAGGCAGCTTTACCTGCCATACTAGGTCGGGATGCAGGCTGCCAGGTTAGCGATGAGTTGATACAGCGGTACACCGAGCTTGTTCTCAGAGCAGATGCGCAGGCTGTGGAGCGATGTGTGCAGCTTATTTCGTCAACGGATTTCACTGAGAAGCTGAAGAAGCTGGAGAGCGAGACTGATCTCCCCATTACTTGTCTGCATGGCGACAAGGATGCTCCTGAGTCTCAGGTTGTCGTTCTAAAGAAGATTGTCCCCAGGACGGTGGTGAAGATGTATGAGAATGCTGCTCATGGTAAGTGATTCTATCCATACACGCACGCACACACACACACACACACTGCATCCACCTTGGGTATCATTTAATGGTTGGCTAATTTGTGCCCCGTTTAGGTCTGACTGATACTCATGACGAGCGCGTTATCGCCGATATCCTGGAGTTTGTTGACGCCCTCAAGGTGTAGAAGTGGAGGGAGGATCTTGTCTAGTGTTTCTGCTGCGGAAAGGTTGGCGTGAAGTTGGTGATGTTATGTTTTATTACCACTATATAATAATTAAGTACACAGGCTTTTTCCACGTTAAAGTACCATGTGCGTCTTCATAAGATGCTGGCAATAGCACCATAACGTTATGTTTTATATTAGGTGAAACACGGGAAATTCAGCTTTCATCAACTCAATTAACATGCCGAGTGTGATACGAGAGATGCTGCTTGAATGAGTCTAAATTGGAGCGGCAGCCTATCATATACCGGATAGCTATAGCCCTTTCTGGTCTTGTATAAATATAGACATAACCACCATGAATTCTTCGACATTTCTTCGCTGTGACGACGTCCAGTGCGAAGATACCTGACGAAGCAAGATGGCAGCAACGAACGGGCAGAAGAGAAAGGCAGATGACATAGTCGTCCCTGATCTCGCCGAAGATGCAACGGAACGAAAGAGAGTGCTCAATGTCCTTGCACAGCGGAGATATAGTATGATTTCTCAGCTAATCCCGTCGACCGGCCTGACTCCTGGCTAAATGGTGTATAGGACAACGAAAGCGAGAACAGTTAGCTGAGCTTGAAGCAAAGGCCAAACAAAGAGAGAGAAAGACACCTGAGTCAAGCGAGAAAGTTACATCTTCTGAACCAGGGTCCTCGCCAGGCCTAGTACCAGCGAGCTTGCCAGATGCAATTGGAAGGCAGATACCAACACCTCCCGAGTTGGACTTCGGCAATGGCTCTCTATCATTCTCATCTCCTTTGGATTACCAGGTACAGATAGCGGGAGAGCCAATTCTAGACCTGACCAGCATACCGGACTTTAATTTCGACACATCCTCTCTATCTGCCATTGGAACAGAGACCCCTCCGCCGGATCTCCCTTCGCCCCCAGCGGATCTCCAACTCTCACCCACAGCACGGGCTTCTTCGCCCGGTCTGTCCATGCTTTCCTTTCAGTTCCTTGCAAGTCAGCCCCAGGACGATACCCAGCCGCTCTCGGCAGCGCTGCAATCATACCAAACTTCCAACTTTACCTTTCCGGATGATAAGATTCTGGACGTCCCGCCCCTGACCCTCCTGCGCGCCATGCTCACCATCGCGACTCGGCTGAATTTAACCGAACATATTTGGAACCTTGCGGGTATAAGCCCATTTTTCACCGGACAAACGGGTCTTGGCACCAACATAGCCTTACCTTCGGGGTTAGATCTAGCTGATATCCCAAGGAATTTCCATCCAACGCCTACCCAGCGGTTGGTTCCACACCATGCGATTCTGGACTTGCTGCCATGGCCGAGTGCGAGAGATAAGTTGATACACGTCTTTAGCTTGCCAGTCCAGTTACGGCCCCCCGCAGCGGCAGACCCGATGGGCTTGATGGGCTTGGTATGCGATATAGAAGATGCTGGCGAAGGTATGAGAGTCAGTGGCCCAGACCCATTTTCTCCTGAGATGTGGGAGGTTGGCCAACTCGTCTTTCAGCGCTGGTGGTGGGCATTCGAAGGGAGCATCGTGGAGAGCAGCAACCGTCTACGAAGCAAACGAGGAGAACAAGGGCTTATTATTGGGGCCGTGCCATGAAGAGAAAAACTTCAGCTCGGACATTTCTTACATTTTGAATCCCACTGAGACCTCGCCAGGCGCCTGCGAAAACGACATCATGTGACCATCCAATACGGGCATCAAGCAGCCGCGTGCGATGACTAGCGAGCAAAGATCATGACCGCTTCACAAGCCTTCTTTGCTTCTCTCTTCACGAAACAAGCGATATGTCTGAGGCTGCGTCGCACTTGATCTTGTCATCTGCATGTATGCAACGTTAGCCAACGGCCGTGTGAAGAAGGGTACCCTGTACTAGTGTGCAGCTGTTCCTGCTTATATATTATGATCAGCTGGGTCAAATATATTTAGATTTCCCCTGTCAGGTACACCCTTTCTGAACCAGCAACCATCCACACGCCCTGTCCATCCCAGCAGGCTGCGGTCTAAATGTTGGTGGTTATGGCTGTCCGCAAGCTCCTTTTATTGGTGACAGGTACGGCCAAACGGTTTTTAGCTGGGCGCCTATGTGGCTGTGCCTTCGCGGGATGATACTTCACAAGCCATTTCGCATCTAAGCTATAGCTCCATCCGTGACTCACAAGCTTCGTATGCTGCCACACACCATCCACAGAGCACAAAAGCTGTATCACAAGCTGTGTGAAGCTATGGAAAACACCACTCTACTTCGACCCACTATGTACATACGGGTGCCGGTTAGGTCGGAATAAGGTTAGGGAGCCTCCCTTTCTATCCTTGACCTTGTTCAGATTCCGTGATCCCCTTGATATGAAGGCCCTCTTAAATATCTGCCCTACCCGCTATCTTCATTGATGAAAGATTTTATGCCACCCACATGCAGTGAAAAAGCTATAAGAGCCATCCCCCCTGCTTTTTTGACAAAAGAGAGAGAAAAGAAAAGCAACCACAGCTTTTTAAACAGAGGATTATTCTATAGCTAGTGGTGCGGTATTACGCTACCTCTTCTTTTGTTTGCTGCCTTAAAATACAAGAATAAAAAGAGGGAGCCTGCTATATGGATAAGCCTCATGCACACATATTCTTATGGTGGTCACTCCATGACGCAGCCTTTTCTCTCTTTTTTGCTTCTTATTCCCCTTAAAGCGCTGATAGAGGCCAACATTTCCCTTTCCCGATCAGTCCTTTCCTATGAGGACGCCGAGACAACTGCACAGTGACTGGTTTAAAAGGACTGTTGAACCCCTCCGTCCTCCTTTCACACTACAATATCACAACAGCTTTCTCAGCCTGGCTCTTCTGCTTTCATCACCCTCATCCCCCATCATTTTCACTTAATAATCGATCAAGAAGTCTTCGAAAAAGACCAGCAGGTAAGCTATGGCTATGAAACTACGTGTTTTCATGAAGATATCCATGGTTGCTAACAAGAATCTTGCTCTGCAGCTCTCTTCCACCTTTCTTACCGAGTACTCCAGCTAGAAAACCACCAAGATGTACTTCAACGTGAGTATATCCTCTTCCCTTTTTCCCCCTTCTGACTCCCTGCAGTTGAAATGTACCCTGATCCACTGACGTTCTTCCAGGTTACCATGAAGCCTGGTGCTCCCGACGAGGCCCTCACCAAGTAAGTATACCTTTCATTCATACGCGTGGGCCGGTCTTCCCTTTCTTCAGGGCGTTTGATGGTGACACGAGCACTCGAATGAACGGGGGTCGACATGCATATCACCATCCTTCTTCTTTATTTGGGCTGTGCTTTTGACTAACTCCGGAATCTCCAGGGCAAAGGAATCAGCCAAGAAGACTGGCGGCACCATCCGTCACGAGTACAAGTTGATTAGAGGATTCACGTAAGAGAGATCCTTCCTGCCTGCTAGCTACTTGTCAAATGTGGTGAAATATACGGCCAAGCTGACGATATACGACTAGCGTGGAGTATCCCAACGACCACAACCTTGATGACGTCCTCAAGTCCAACGACCACATTCACGTCGAGCAGGATGGTCCCGGCCCAGCTAAGAAGGTCGCTACTTCAACCATTTGAAGGACCGACAAAGCCGGCATGGACATGACTACCACATTTGCTCGTCCTCTTATTTTCTTATGTACCCCCTCTCTCGTATTCCATCCGCTGAGATCGTTTTCTGTCTTCCCTTGGTAAAGTGATCGAATGGGACAAAAAAGGCGTTATGGTTACGGACTTACTTTTCTTTGTTTCTCTATATCTTTTTAATCCCCCTTTACCCCTTTCACCCAGATGTTTTATTAGCAAACTTCATTCCCATTGAGAGGGGGAATACGTGATGTTTCACTATGTGGTAGCTCCGAGAAAATACAACCAAACGAGTTTTAAGTAAAAAGCTGTCCTCAGAATAAGCATCTCTTCTTTCTTCGTACCTGGCCTGTTCCTGAACCACCGTAAGACAAGGTTCAAAGGCCGAGCAGCATAACCATATCTATCGTAGGTTGTTTGTACCTCGTTCTCTATGATTGCCTATGACCACAGCCCATACACTGACGCAACCAGCAAGGAAGATAACGACAAGCGCATATAAGTGAGTTAAGTTACTAGCAAACTCGGCTGTTTCCTTCCCTTGTCCGTTTCCCCACACTTTGACAAGGCTCGTACATAAAAAGTACCGTTGAAATTGTATTTAATCCTTGCTGCAGCCTATGACGCTTTTATGCCAACCACCATGGTGGATGGAAGCGGCAGGAGGCCCTAAAAGAGTGATACGCAACATGCTTACGGAATAGATGTACGGGTTCCTTTCCCCCCTATCCGCATTCCTCTTTTGCTGTCGTGCATCTCCGGATGTTGTCGTGCTGGTACTTCGTAGTTGACTCTCGGACGGATATCTCCCTCCTTTCCCCGTCACCCGTAAAGTCCGGAGTAGACAGGGGATGGGGATAATCCATCCATCCGTCCACACAGACCACCAAAAGCGACAAGGACAAGGAGTGACATATCTGGTGCAAACGTCTCTATATCGCAGCTTGGTTGTCTTTGTCTTTCCCGACTGAACTGTTGTTGCAACATCATACTCCGTAGTTATCAACTCGGCTGGTCGAGCCGTAATAAGGCCAGTAGATCTGGGATCTGTAGAAAGTCCCTGGTCAAACAGAGCTTCATCCCTGGAAAATATCCGCTATAATAAAGATGCACCTGTAACCACTGGAAGAAGCCGTCATCTGCTGCTCTGCGTGGGGGTCTCACAGCTCTGATATCTGTTATTTCTTCGTGTCAGACACTGCACCTTTATATCCTCAAGCCAGGGCGAGCGCGAGAGAGGAGTCTTGTATTCCTCTGCTTCTTCTTCTTCTTTGCTATTAAACAGTGTAAGACAACCAAGACGGACGTGGAGTTCGGGCGAAGGGTTGGCCTATTTGGCCGAGCGAAAAAGCAAAGAAACCCACGCCGGCCGGTCCAAGTTGGCGTAGGGCACAGAGAGAGGGAGAGAGAGGAAGGGCAAGGGCTTCATCATATCCATCATTAATTGACTATCAAACAGCCTGGCCAACCGGATCACACACAATCAGAGGGAGGCCTTGACGCTGCGAGCCAGTAGCGGACTCCTCCCACGCCTACCGCAGCCATCGCCGCCGTCATAACTGATGCTGGTTGGCGCATCGCGGGCATCGCATCACACGATAGTTAATTAGTGCCGGCTCCACGCTGGGAAAGACATCAATCAAGCACAGAGAGAGACTTGACTTGAGGGAAGACGAAGTTGTTGGGGGGCTTTCTTTTTCTGCTTCTTTCCTGTGCGCCGCTTAAGTACGGGGGCAACATCCACCAACACCGTCATCACCATCATCATCACCACTAGCCAATATATATATTATACTGACCACCACCACCACTTCCACCTCAGCCACTCGTTACAGGACATCGACGGGACTTCGAGAGACGAGGAGAATTCACATTGGTGCCTCCATTTGCAGCATGGAATAGCAATCGACAGTCCCTTTAGTAACCATGGCATTCCTACGAGCACACCCCCTGCGCACTGCACGGAGCCGGCTGATCGCTGGTGGTGGCACTTCGCTGCGCTCCCTCTCCTCCATCACGACGAGTAGCTGGTCCTACCCGCCCTCTGCGTCTGACGTATCTACGGATGAGATTACTCGCCTCTCTGCCAGTCCTCGCCGGCCCCTGACGCTGTCAGATCTTCTCCGGTAAGTGTGGAAAGGGGAGAAACAAAAAGAAACGGAAAGAAAGGAAGATAGAGAGAATACCAGTGCTGACACGGTGGATTAGACATGGCCGACCACCACTCACGAGAGAAGCCCTCCTTGCATCGGCAAACTTCACGCTCTCTCTCCTCCCTGCCAGACTGGCCTACCGTATCCAGGCCCTGAGAAACCTGCCGTTTATCGTCGTCTCGAACCCCCATATCTCCCAGATTTACAACAACTACGTTCACTCCTTCACCACATTAGTACCGTTCCAGAAGCGGAAGATCTCAACGCCAGAGGAAGAGAGACAGTTCACCGAGATCATGGCTGAGCTGGTACAGACACACGACAATACAATTCCAGTGCTTGCGCGTGGGTTTCTAGAGTGTCGTAAATACATCAGTCCCGCCGAAGTGACTGCATTTTTAGATGAACATCTCAGGGCTAGAATCGGTACTCGCCTGATTGCCCAGCAGCATCTGGCACTTCACCACGCCTCTATCTCAGAGAATGGTAATCTCCTTACCTCACGGGACAAAAATCTGCCGTCCAACTATATCGGCGTAATCGATACGGCTCTTAAACCCGCACGTTTGATAAAGGTCTGTGAGGAATTCGTTGCCGAGATATGCGAGCTCAAATACGGCGTACGTCCTAGAGTAGTTATCAACGGGGAGCCCGAAGCAACATTCGCCCATATCCCGGTTCACGTCGAATATATACTCACCGAACTCCTAAAGAATGCCTTCCGGGCAACGGTGGAGGCCGGAAACGAGCGTGAGCCCATCGAAGTAACCATCGCCTCCGCACCCAATACGCCGTCAACTACCGGTGTTGAACACGCCGTGCCTGAGCCCGAGAAAAATCCAAACTCCCTTGGAACGGGTTCCCAGAGTGACTTCCAGATGAGCATCGGAATGCATAAATCTAGGCCCCTAGTGCCGGGTCCGATGTTCGAACCACTCAAATCATCTGCCCAGAGCATCACAATTCGCATCAGGGACCGAGGAGGTGGCATACCTCCTGAGATTCTCTCTGATATCTGGTCCTATAGCTATAGCACGTTCAACTCCGACCACCTTCCCGTGAGCGACAATGGGAACGTCGATGCCCTGAACGCAATATCAGGCAGTGGTGGCCATAATGCCAGCACCATTGCAGGCCTTGGCTACGGACTCCCGCTTGGACGAGCGTACGCGGAATACTTTGGCGGTGGCATCGACATCCAGAGTCTTTGGGGCTGGGGTACCGACGTGTACCTCACCCTACAAGGCGTTGGAAAAGTGCAAGGTTAAACTCCTTAATAACCATTTGGATGGAGAAAACCCCTTCTATCTGTTTCCCCATGCACATGCAGATATACCCACGCAACTGCGCTTCCATCCGTCACACTCGCCTACTACCAAATGCCAGGCTGGTATCTTCCTCAGCCTGGCTCCGCTTCCCGTTTTGGGAGGCATTATTTTCGTAAGATATTCCTTACGCATCTACGAACGTCACGGAATTGTACCTTTATGTTTTTCACCACTTTATCAATGCTGTTGAAATCATGGTAACGGCTGAGCTCTAGTTCTATTGAATTAAGAGCCTTGACGTACTCGAAGCGGATTCCTCTTCAACCGGTGGTGTATCGATATACGCCTGCTATCTCCTCGCTGAATGGCTAGATAAACCATTAAGAGATTCTTGACTAACTGGTCTAGCCGATTGCAAATTGCTGTCTACCTTATACCAGAGCTTAACCCCACGCAGCTCAGACATTCGTTCTCGGGGCTTTGAAATTGATGACCTCGACCTTATGCAAGGTCACACACATGTTTTCTTTACGGAAGTGTTTTCATGCATTCAAGTCTCGGATTTATCATCGTTTAAGGGCGTGGATGTTCTAAAAAGCATAGCGACATAGCCTACAAGAAGACGTGGGGCAGGTTATTCTTCTTTTCTTTCTTCTCTTCTGACCGTTTAGTGTACTTTTCCTATGTGGGAGGCCGATCCTGTGATCCGCTGTACGATGGCTAAGATGGCTGTGGTTAGAGAGGAGTTGGCGGCACTTATCAGCGTAGCTTTTTACCTGCTTTACCCGTTTTATATCGATAGGCTCCATCCAATATATGATTAAGTTTAAATTTCTATTCATTTTTATATTCAACAATGTTAGGGTATATTTAACAATGCCTATATTTACTATTTAAATTAAACAAAACACCCAATAAGTGGTAAAACTACCTATACAATATGCCATCCCAACAATAAAGTCATAATAACCAGGTTATGCACCTTTCCCTAAACTATCCAAAAGCAATAAAAGGTTGAAAGTTCCATACTCAACGGCTGTAAGGAGCAGGAACACTTTGTCCATACTGAGTATCACGTCCTTCTGGGTAAAATCTCATCTCTTCCTCGTCAGATCCAGACTCGCCCTTATAAGCTGCGGTTCCGTCTTGTTGTAAGGTAACCCCAACAGCAATGAAGGTAATAACAACGACCATTTCCTCTAGTACAGCCATGAGCAAGTAGATTGTAACATCTCCAGAAACAATGCTAAACTTGGGACTGCGGCTAAAGGCGCTGATGAAGCTGTACAACAAGCGGACGAGGATGAAAGGGAGAGAGATTGCAATGGCAAGCAAGAGTTTCTTTTCGCCGTCGGGAAGATATTGCTTGTTGGCGTTGATGATAAAGACTGCACCAATGGTAATAACCCAGACCCCGAGAGTGATGCAGATAGCGGCTTTGCTTTCGACGGATGGCGTGTATGGCATGTCGCCATCATTCCGGTTGGTGATGCCGACAATGGCGAGAATAAGGCCAACCAGTACCAGAACCCCGATCACACGGAATACAATGGGCGGAACTCCCTTCTTGCCTCTGTTTATTATGGAATTGTTCCTAATTGGATAATACATTAGTAAACTTGTTTTGCGGAAGTTAGGCAATTCCTCAAGCACAGATGGGAAGAACACACGCTCTGTTAATGAGGCCGATGCAGGCTAGGATTAATGGTGATACCCCGACAGAGTTACACACTGCTGCGCCCGTGAAAAGCCCTTCAGACGGGTTTGCTATGGTTGCTAACTCCAAGCATGCGCCGACAATACGGACCAAGGAGAGCATGACAAGGAAGTACCATCCCGCTGCCTTGGCGAAGCCATGTCGAAGGGCAACATAAACGGCGACGAAGAAGCAAGGGAGGTAGACGATTAGACTGAATATCGCAACTCCATTCCTGTAATCGACGGCCATGATGGATTCTTCTCGGAGGAGCACAATAAAATAAATCTCAGAAAGTCGGAATAACTAGAGAGGCCTTTGTTAGAGGGTCTTAGGCGCGTAGATACCGGTGATACTGCTTTCAACACCACCGTTAGAGGAGAGAAGAACGGTTTATAAGACTACAACTTCACCGGGTTTTGATCTGCCAGGGAAGCCCAGAAATCCACCTTGAGTAGTAGTAGAATGTTAGCACGGCCACAACGTCATCTCATCTCCTTTGGGGTATCAGTTGCGAGCCTTTAGGTCCTAGCGGGCGTTTAAGCGGGCGCAGCGACGGTAACTACTTTGGTAGAGTCCTAGCCATAAGGGACAGCGCATGGCAGCAGAACTCCTCCAGGCGCATGGCTGCCTTGCATGGTATCCAGTTGGCTCGCGACTTTCAGCCCGCGGGCTGCAAGGCTGCGCTTCTTCTGCAAAGCCCGAAGTCTCATTAGACGAAGTTGAGAATTGAGGCTGAAGTTCTTTCGCGATGCTTGCCCAAAGCGGTTAGCCGCGTCTTGGATCCTTCATCATTTTGATTTTTATACTAAAGAAAAACAACGACGGCGAGCCAGGGGGTTTTGACAACGTATAACGCGCGTTCTCGAGCTATGGGAGATCCGTCGGAGATGATTGATCAAACGGAGATGGTCGAAAATTCTCGTTCCGAAGTGTGGCTGAAGGATCACAGTGCTTATCACCATCAAGCTTTGAACGGGGCTGGGTAAACAGGTGGATATCAGTGAAATGAATACATTCTTGACTGTTGACTACTAGGTAGTTAGCTACAGAGTTGCTGTAGTATCTTTACCGCTAGAATGCAAGGCAGCTGAAGAAATGCATCATTCTAGGGTGATTTATATAACGTGGCCTTCACCGACGATAACTCTGTTAGAACATGCCCGTCATTCGACTGGTGTATGTGATGCTGCCGGTACCCATGTTTTTGTAGCTGTGATGGAGATGAGATACTATTAACACAAACAGACCAACTGGTATCATGACGGTCGGTTTAGTTACCTTCGTCGACGGTCTTTTGAGAGCGTAAGATGCAGGCAGAGTTCAGCAGTGAACTATCAAGGCAGGCATCGCTGAGTAGATGTGTAGATGGCGCCGGCCTGAGAGAAGCAACTGGACGTCTCGGGCTATACAACTGGATGCTAACTAGAATAACCAGCTAATCAACTCGAGTTGAATATTAAAATCTGGGTATCAGGTCTCGAGGTATCTTAGTATCCCGAGAGCGTACAACTAGGTACCTATCTAGGTACCGAGTGTTGGGAAACTACTGAGAGGAGAGAAGGAAAGAAAAGGAGGAATCTGCCAGACTCAGGAACGGGCTTATATATAGTGCGTATTGCCCGCGGTGGTGCAGTGACCGTACCTAGGTAGTCAGTGACCGTAGACTGTGAAGCCACATCTGGTCGATGGTGTTGCGAGCGAATCCCAGAGAGCCAGATGATCCCTGCTGATAGTCACGCTGCTAGTTATAGGGTAGTTATAGTTAGGTTAACCAGTTAAATAAGTAGGCAGATAAGCAGTGAATGCTGGCTCCTTGGGCGCCTAATCAATGCTAAGAGAACAACAACTACGGACCGGCAAGATGGACGGCCGCCTGCTCGAGGCCGTGCGAGAGAATACCAGGTTGAAAGACATCCGCCTACTGGTTGAGGACGAGGCAGACCCATACGATCTCATGGCGACAGATAGCTACTATAAGACGGCCCTCCAGTGCGCCCTCGAGATGCGAAACAGCGCAGTATGTGCATACCTGGCCGGCCGGATGCTTGAGCAGGGCCGCCGTCTGCCCGTCGTGCTACCGCCAGCGGTGGTTGACTGGGCCAGGAGGGAGCCCTGGTTCCCTACGCTGGAGCTGGCATTATCCGGCGGCTGGGACAGCAGCTGGAGCAGGACGACTAGCCTAACGAAGAAGAGCTATGACGCGCTCCTGGCGTGGCTGGCGGCGGGGCTAAAGCTGCCAGAGACCATCACCGCACGCATCCTGGACGAGGCCGAGTTCTGGGTGGCCGTCTCTGTGAGGCGGGAGAGAGAGCTCTATTTCGACGAGAACAGCAGGATCAGGCCGTACGTCGAGGTCGAGTGCCCGGCGCTGCAAGGATACCTACGCCGAATAGACGTCCTGACCGTCTCGCACGACCAAGGTCTGTCTGGCCTCGACTTTTTGACTCTTTTGATTACCTACCTCGATAACTAGAGCTGACCTTTAAGCTAATGTCTAGGATGGAGCTCGGAGGGCGTGAACGACTCGTACGGGGGATCCTACACCTGGTTTGACATCGGGGTCCTTCGAGGCGGCGATGGCGCAGAAGTAGAAGAGAGCCTGGTGCTGCAGGCGAACGTCGGCGCCCAGAGGCAGACCCGGGTTCACTATAACCAGATCCGCGCTCGAGACGCACGGCTGGCTGCCTGGATGGCCGCCGTCGGGCCCGGGGACCGCCTGGCCGTCGTTCCGCGGGCACTCTACCCGGGCTGGGTCAACTACGTCGAGTGTATCGAGATGAAGCTGTGGTATGCCCACTGGCACGTCTAGATCCAGAAGTATAGAAGTGACGCATAGCATTTATTATTTGAATATACTCCGTACTGGGTTCAATATTCAATGAGGTAACTAACTAGCCATTAACTACATAACAGCGTTAACTAGGTGATGATCATTGCGTGTATAACTACCACAGGAATACGGAGTAGTATTGACCAATTAACCTGTTAACTAACTACCTAGTTAAACCCATCCATTGATATCAAAGTGACCGAAATTCATGAAAGGAAAGTCATTAATATAGCTTGGAAATCGTGGCCTCTACGTACCATACGTGCCGGAAATTGCCAGGGAGTCAACAGGGATATCTCTAGTGGTCTGCTTGTCATCGACGGTCGACTGTACTTTAGGTCCTCCGGGTTGCAGATCGAGAACCAAGCTGTACCATCCCTTATCCGTTGGCTTTTCGAGATGCACAGCAGATGCCTCCTGCGGCGTGGTGACCTGGACACTTACCCAAGCAGAGGTTCCCGACTGCGGTTCGATGACATCCGGCTGCGAGGACGGCGTCGGGTTGGCTTGAAGTCGAAGCCTCAACGAGGTTGGCTTCTGGTCAACAGGCGATAGATTGCCCGAACCCGCGCTGAGGTATTTCAGCTGCATACCAGGGATATCTTGAAGGGAACAAGTGTACTCGGGCTGCTCGGTGATTCCGAACGATTCAACTGATATCTGGCCCTGGATGACTCGTAATGCTGAGATATATCCCAGGGCATCGATCAGCTTTCTTGCCGCCGGCTCGTAGTCCGGATTTCCGCTTTTGCGCAAGATGTTGCCGATACTATCAACTCTGATATTGACCAGGGATGCAGTATTAGAATTGTTAAGTGTCTGCGCCCATTCATTGAAGGTCTTCCTGTACTGTTCGGGATTGTCATCGGGCTGCGATGTGCTGAGCTCGATGCTCGAAGCGCTGGTTCCACCGCGAACATACACCTGGTTCTCGCGTGTTCGCCGGTACGCTTGATAAGTGCTCGAAGTTTTGACGCTCACATCCCCGCTAACATCTGCTATTCCATTATATTCAGCCTTGACGTGAAGTTCGAACATCTCCTTGGTTTCCGTCTTTGTCAGTTCGTTGTTGACCTTGAGCTGGTACCGGGCTCCAAAGACACAGGACTCCATGACGTGCGTTCCCCAGTCATTGAAAAACTTCATGTACTGATCAAAGGTGGTCTGCTCAACTTTCCAGTCTGGAAGCCCCTCGACCGCCGCAAGAAGCTTTTCGTTTACCACGACAGGAGACCCGTCGTAGTCGAGTTCCACGAAGAACGAACGGTGATCAACACTCATGACCCCATACACTTTAGCAGTGCTCAGAGAGTGGGCATAGCTATATTGTGACGATGTGGACGCTGAAACACCAGCATAACTGGCGCTGAAGCTTGCGCTGGTATCAAGCGTGTTGGCCAGGTCTGTCCCAGTCTCAACCCTCATGGAGTTAGTTGTGGTCCCGCCGGCCGAATTTGTCAATTTCGTGTTCTTAGGGATGGCATAGGTATTGCCATCTGGGAACGTAACGGAGCTTTCGTCCTCACTCAGCGTGACGATCCGCCGCTTCTGATCGAGGACTACGTCAAGGTCGAATGCATCGCTGCCTTTTAGACCGCATCAGAGGACCGTTATTCAGGATCCGGCGTGATGAATACATACCCCTTGGTAGCAAAACAACACTCTGACCCAGCAGTTGGGCATCGGTGAATTGGCTGGTGCTACCCATGGTGTCAAACTAGTCGAGACGAGCTGGTTCTATTCAACTCAGACTCGGGCTGCAGGATATCCTCTGCTCGTACTTTATAACCATTCATTGGACCACCCCCGGCTGATCGCCATACCCCGCTTGCGGAGGCGGCCCGCTGACCCTTAACTGTAAACTTATCGCCAGTTAAGTTAACGACATGCATCATGCGCGCAATTCCACTCGTGACACACTGGATGTATATCCAGCACGTTACCCCTGCCTCACCGGGCCAATACCTATATCATCTAGAGCCGCGGAGCAAATCTCCGCAGCATGATGCTCATTTAGGAAACCAGGAAAAGATGCTGGTAGCAGTATTTGAAATGTTTCTAGTTGAATATGAAATATTTTATGAGTTGTCAACCACCATGCAAATTGGTAATGATTACTATTCCCATGACAGGACATTCGATGCACACCTCGGTCAGCCTCCTAGGGAAGACAAGAAGAGGGTAGGGGAGAGGAAAGAGGGGTAAGAGCGAATATCAACCCATCAGTCAACTTTCAAATTTGTGACAAAGTCAGGGAAAGAATATATCGGACTTTCTAACCCTTGATCTAAGAAAGTAACTAGATATATAAGAAGGTAAGGTAGAACCCCTCCCTTGAACAACGGTCTGATTACACATTCCTGATCACAAAACATTACATCCTTCCCCTGGCTTTTATCGAAACCTATTTGGCTTTGGAAAATATGCACTACAGCTTCGTTGCACTCTTCAACTTTTTGGGCCTCTTGTCCCGCGCTGAAGCTAGATCATGCGGACATACCTATTTATACTGCGGAGTTACCCTTCAAGATAAAGGTAGGTAGTACGATCGGCCTTTTTTTCCACCATGGCCGGCTAGTTATATTAGTATCAGAAATGCTAGAGATCTGACAATCCTTCCTAGGATGGAGCCAGTCAGAACTCGTCAACATAATCAATAAGGATCAGTTTCCCAATCCAAACGCCGTTGATGACTATCGGAATGCGCTATTCCAATGCGGCGATAGTGATAACCCTTTTTATGTCGGATACTGCAATGCGGGTTGTATTAATGAAGGTAGTGGGCATGATGACATTTGTAAAGGTAAGTTATGAAGATACTGATAATAATTGACTCGCTAGCCAAAACTGACCTACCGTCCAGATCCATAACCAGCTTAAGGAGTTCGTTTTTTCGTCGTTTAGAGGCTTCGTGTCTTCCCTTCTCGGTTTGTTATCAATATATTTACACGAGCCAAGTTTTAGCATTTACCAGTGTGAACAATGACAGGGGAATAATGTATTTCGGCGACAGCAGCATTTCGGAATAATAATTGCTGATTTTAATATTTCCGTAGAACGTATTTTTTAATACTAAATTTTACAATACTATCTGTAGGTGGTTGTATTTCAGTATCTCCAACTCCCATCTCTTCCATTTTCTTTTTGTAGTTTCAAGATCCCTGGGTTGCGGTGAATCCCCGTTTCTGGAATGCTGTGTTTGTAAAGTATTAGTTTTATATAATGGTTAAATCCCCCCTCTCCCCTTTTCTTTTCTTTAGTCAAGTATCTTCTATGTAAGGTTAACATAACATCCCGGTAAGCAACAGCCCAAGCTGTTTGCTGCCTTGGCGAGGTTGCTTGAAACTTCTTTAAGGGTATCGTGTATCATTAAGAGTAAATCATGGATCGTTGTTTCATTGAAAAGCTCGCGGGTATAGCAAATGGTAAGTGTGAGTGTACCCTTGGCTGCAGCCTCGGTATCTTGAACGATAACTATGAGAGGGTAGTTCAATTTCTCCATCTTGCCTATAATAGAATATTTCCGAGCTTCTTGGTAGCGAAGTTCTTTGACTAACTAGTTACCTTTGGCCAGAGTTAGATAACTTTCGAAGACGAATAACTAACGTTTCGAAAAGACCATGCTTTAGGTTATTTTTATACAAACGGCCCACTCAATATGCCCCCATGTGTTCATCGCGTTAAAGTACCTCTTCCTATCCAGTTAACTATCCAGGTTTATCGACGAATCATAATAGTGAAGTCTATACTTAAAAAATTCTTACTCTAAAGTAATAGATTAGTATTCTTACTTTAATTAGCCTTACCTATTTACTATAGTTATAGCTTTCTGTAGATATAAGCGGGATTCTTCTACTGTGATTAAACTATCCATATATAATTTGAGCTTGGGGGGGGGGGGGGGGGGGGGCGGGCGCGGGGTCGGAGCTACTCCCCCTTCTTCCTTAGAAGCCTTAAATTGGAGAATAAAAGCTCTCCCTCTATTAATATTAACTGTAATGCGTAATTTTCTAATGAGTTTAATAGTTTAATCGTTAGAATAGTATTGATCTCCTACTACATCTATTGCTTTAATACCCCATATGCTGAAGCAGTTCAGCTAGTTGAACTTCCATAATCTTTCGGTATCTTTCAACAGTGTCCTGCGACTGCTTTGCGAGAATGTCGCTATTAGACAGACGCCAGGGCAAAATTGTACTCAAAAGCGCATTGATATCAGCCACCTTATCTATTCCTGCCATCGTTCTTGGCCGCAATGCATCCACCTTCTCTAGCTCCTCCTCACAAGCTCTCACGACTTCCCAATTGATTCCACCCTCAGTAGTCGGGAAAAGTGGTGACGGAAAGCCGTGTAGTTTGGCATGACGTAGTTTGGCTTGATCACTATCCTGATCCTCACACCAGCCGGGGAGTTGCTCACCAGCACCAAGAAACGAGCAGAAATACTCGTAGGAGGGATGCGAGATGCAGGAAAAGTCATAGTAATGCGTCCCGGTCGAGGTCAACGAGAATATTATCCGGAGCTTAGAAGTAGAATAAATTAGCAAATTAAAAAATCCCAGACTTGGTAACTTGTTAACCACTTGATTAACTAAGTACTCACTGAAGTCGTTGTGCGCAATAACCCTCTTGTCCTTATAAGCTAGAGATTCAAACTGTGAATGCAATCCATGCTCGATGAAAGCATCAAGCCGCTTTCTTATACCGTTGGCATGCCAGCCCTGAATATGCTGGCTCTTGTCCGCTTTCTCGAGTGCGATTTGCAATCTGGTCCTGAAGAAGTCTTCATATGACGACCACGGTCCAGCACCGACATTAGTCATTGAGGCACTGACAATGTGTCCACTGCCGTCGAAAGTCAGGCCACCAAAATCAGTAATACTGTCTGGAAGGGGATAATCTTGCAGGGCCTTCAAAATCCTTGCCATTTGTGCAAGAATCGGTTTCTGGTTCTCGAGATTCATTTCCGAAAAAGCTTCAAGAATACTCGAACCTGGCATACGCTGCTGGAGAATCCATCCCTGAGTAGTCCCAGCGGCAGTACTCCACGCATATACCGAAGGAACCACGTTGGGCCGGAACTCAGTTAAAGCAGTAGATGCAAGAGAGAGGACTGCAACTTCATTCTCGACGCGGTTTGTCGATTTCATTCCATCAGCATCAGAGTTTGTGAGACGGAGAATGAAAGATTCTGTCCCTTCTGGAATCGGAACGCATCCAGGCTGAAGCTCAAGGCCCCGCGCTTGTTTACTCGTGGTAGGCGAGGGCAACTTGACCAGATAGACAAAGTTATTATATTTAAAGGGGCACTCTGGATCGTATTGAACGGGTGATCGCGGCCAGCGGTTCCTAACACAGAGTCTTGTTTGGCCTCGAACATGGTAGAATATTCTACTTTGGACTTTATTATACTCACCTCGAAGCCCAGTCGATCAGAGAACAGCTTCTGTAACTAGTTAAGTTAGTTAAATGCCAACATTCTCTCCCTTCTCAGCCAGAAACTCCTCTATTATCGGCATCGAGAAGGGCCATTGTCGTCAAATCGAAAGTACGGAGTAATACAAAGCTATATACAACCGCTCGCACCCATTTCACGCCACTAAATTGCTCTGCATTGCAGATGCCTCTCCCAGCCCCGGACTCCCTGACCCCAAAGACTAGTAGGCTGCAAAAAAGAAATCAACTTTTACAAGTCTTCATTCTATACAGATGACTCCGTACGAGCAGTTCGCTTGTGAACAGATTGTGGACCGCCATTTGCACAAGCACAACGGGCCGACTGTGGACTGCACTGCTACCCGAAGTCAATGGGTGAGCTCCTATAAGGGACCTGCGTATGATAACGAACCGCCATTTGGAGAATGACAGATTTCCGATCACTGGGTATGTAGCCTAAGCCCTCGGAGTTAGCTATACAATGAAGACTTCGTCGCTGATTTATCTAACTATTCTTAGCTTCCATCTGGCCCAACGTACCTGGATATCAATAGTCTTGAGAAGGGATATTACGCACATATTACAAGTATTGGTGATAAAAATTCTTGGCTACATTCACCATTTGTGACTATTAAACGTTTCTTCAATGCTTGAGTATATGTTGGTTATATCTTATGAGAAAGAATATATATATCTCGACTACTTATCTTTTACTAGTAGACAGCTTATATGCATGACTTAGTTATACCCTAGGCAGTACCGGTTTCCCAAAAGGAATATACAAAGCGAATAACTACCGGTATGGTAAAACGTGTCACAGACTTGTCTATCAAATATAGTACGAAGTTACTACTCTTTTCTACTTATGAATTTGAACCGTTCGTATACCAACTGCTCGTAGTGCTAGTGAAAGGCCATTTTCTCGCCATTAACTACCTCCGTAGGTGGATTAATAGAGGACTAAATGTAAACCAGCCGACATGTTGGCCGCGGAGGTGGATTCCGCGAACCATGTACTCCGTACGGAGTATCATTATCACTCAATTGTGATGGATTGCCAGAGACGTCCGTCAACAAACTTACATACCAATGCCAGCCCCAAAAGCGGCCCTTACAATCCTTGAAATATTGCAGTGCAGCTATGAAAATAATATTTCAAACATACTGAAAAAGGAACTTTATAAACAGGATGAAGTTTATCTCCCCTATGACGTATGCGGCACGAGGTTCACTCAACTCCTAAAGCAGGAGTTGCCTCCGAAGATATGGAGTTTGAGGAGAAACAATAGAGCTGTTGCGCTATTATCTCGCATTGCTTGGGACAGGTATATCTCCAAGTGCTACAAGATGCGTCGTATCGTTGTTGATGCGGAAGACCCAGGGGAGCCTACTCGAGACCATCCTTCTAAACATCCCTCAAAATTACGCGAAGCAAATGAGACGAAAGTTCATCCAAATAACTCAGGAGGAGAAGATGGAAACATCTTCTTTGTGGGGACAGCAACGACGTTTATGTACGGGACTCCCTAAACTTCCCTGGCACTATGGTCTAGCTAATAGCTGGCTATCAGAGAATGGGCGGGTATTAGGATCATGACCGATGTATTACCAGCAAACTAACAAACTATTTTTTTGGTATACTAATCGAATCTATAGCCAAATTTCCTACATGCGGGAGATCATGTTCATCTTGGCCCAGGGGTGAGCTGTCCCCCAGTTCTCTATAACGGAGCTTTCTGACTTGGATCAGGTTACGGGAAAACGAGTCACGAATCCCGCGATTGATCTCCATAATATACCCCCTGTTCATCTCATTCTTCTTTCACATTACCACGCGTACGGTATCACCTTTTTAGTCTTTCATGCTATCCGGGGATGTCTATGCTGATATACATATCTTGAATAAGCGATCATTTTGACCAGAAGGTGGAAGCATCTCTTACTCGTGATATACCCATTATAACAACACCTCATGCTAAGGGCTGCCTCGAGTCGAAAGGTAATGATTCCTTTACCCGAGTAGAAGCCCTAGATACTTACCAGAGCATGTTGGTGGAAATCAAATCCAAGGAGGCAACCAGTAAAAAGGAGCCAGCGATCAAGGTGACTGCTATGCCTGGAAAGCATGTCCCACCTGGTCCATTGTCCACCGCCAATGATATTTTGAAAGCGGTATGCTCTTCATTAGAGGCTTGTTTTAGCTACTGCTAAGAGTCTAAAATGTACTCTTTTAGGTTCCACCTACAAATGGATGGATGGTCGAACTAGGCCACACCACCCAATATCACCATGCGGAGGGAGATTTTGAAACAAACTACCAGTACAGTAGCCCCATGAAGGATGGACTAATGTTGAAAAGGTTGCTAAAATAGAGCTGACGCTGCTTGTGGTCAGGATCTACATCTCTGGCGATACCTTGATGTGTGATGAATTAAAGGAGATCCCGAAAATCTATGCTGATCAAAAGATTGACTTGATGCTTATTCACCTTGGAGGCACAACCATCCCATCCCCTCATATACCATTGTTAATGGTTACAATGGATGCGAAGCAAGGAATAGAGCTGTTGAAACTAGTTTGTCCAGAAGTCACTATTCCGATCCATTACGAGTGAGGTCATCCCTTATGTTTAATATTTTACAGTATCATTGCTGACCATTTATTAGTGATTATGATGTCTTTCTATCACCGCTATCAGACTTCCAGAAAGCGGTGGAGGAGGCTGGTTTAAGTGATAAAGTAGTGTACCTCGACCGCAAGGATCAGTATAAATTCAAAACTACGTGGACCGACAGTCATTAACTACGCGGGTTACCTGCAAAGGAAGCTATGAATTTGGAATACCAGGCTAGCTTCTATAAAAGGAATGCAGCGTTAATATTTATATAGTCCAAATCGACAACATTATGACTTTGATACACAATACGCTGATATATAAAATAACCGAACAATATTATACATGGTATCAATACAAGAGGATGTAGAAAGCATGCTCCTAATATTTGGCAAAGCAAAGGCTGCTATTTGTTCCCCCAAATCCAAAACTGTTGGTAAGTGCAACTTCGACTTTCTTTTCCTGTGCGTGGTTGGGGACATAATTGCAGTCGAATTCGTCGGTTACATTATCCAAGTTGATTGTGGGTGGCATGATACCCTAGACAATGGATGTTAGGTATTAGAACGATGAAGGGGAAGTAGATATGTCGTACCTTATCAATAGCTAGAATTGAGAAAGCGGCCTCTATCGCCCCTGCGCCACCCAACAGATGCCCAATAGCTCCCTTTGTGCTGCTTACATTAATTTCTGATGCTTTGGCTTTACCTTCAGATCCAAGAAACAGTGACTTGATTGCCATATTCTCAGCTGCATCCCCAATTGGAGTTGACGTGCCATGGGCGTTGATGTAGTCTATTTTACTGGGCGATACCCCGGCATTTTTAAGTGCACGTTGCATTGCAGAGAAAGCACCTTTACCAGACTCATGCGGAGCCGTGATATGATGTGCGTCGGCTGAGCATCCATATCCTTTAAATTCAGCATAGATACGGGCATTTCGAGACAGGGCGTGTTCAAGTTCCTGTAGAAGTAGAGTGTAAGCATCATGGATGAGTAAGGAGCCTTTCATGGGTACCTAGGTAGTTACTACCTCTAGAACAACAACTGCGGCACCTTCTGCAACGACAAAGCCTTGTCTATCTTTGTCGAATGGCCGGGATGCTTTGTCAGGGTTCTCGTTGAAGCCAGTAGCAAGACTTCGACACCGTGCGAAACTTCCTATAGCTAGCGGGTGTATGCAAGATTCAGCTCCTCCAGCAACCATGACATTTGCGTCACCATACGCGATGAAACGAGAGGCATCACCAATGGAGTGCGCTCCTGTTGTACATGCTGTTGACACCGAATGATTGGGTCCCTTATGATGTTAGTTGATACGCACGAGAATTGCAGGACATAATATAAGCATTGGGGTTAGGACATCCAAAAAATACGTACCATGAATCCGTATTTCATCGATATATGCCCAGCTCCTAAATTAATAAGGAGCTTGGGAACAAAAAGTGGCGACACTTTTCGATATCCCTAATCACGAATGTAAGTAAAAGAAGCACCATATTTGCATGGGATAAGGTTCATCACGTACACCATTATTGTATGCTATAGAGGTGTTGAATGCTTCATCAAAGTTCCCGATCCCGGAACCCAAGCAGACTCCCTATTGGTTTATTAACGGGTTAGAAACATGTTAACTTGGTTTTTGTAGGATTCAGTGGTCTACTAACTGTCATATCTCTAGACTCATCTGTAGTAGGCATCCAATTTGCATCTTCGAGTGCTTCTTGGGCAGCAGCCAAGGCATACTGAGAGTACAGGGCCATTTTGCGTTGGTCCTACTCATGCCAATTAGAACGAATATCCAGAAATCTGGGTATATGAGCATAACCATACATCTCGGGTCACCCATTCAGAGGCATCCCAGCCCCCTTGGGCCCTAGGCCCCTTAGGAACGACTCCAGCAATCTGACATGGCTGCTCAGCGAATCTTGGGTCTCTATCTTTTATAGATACGATTCCGCTGTGTCCGGCCAGAAGCCTTTTCCATATATGTCTTATTCCTAAAAGCACTGTTAATTACTATTATGTATAATTTATACATGGGGCAACCTACCAACTCCAAGGGGAGTGACAGCACCCAAGCCAGTAACAACAACCCTGCGCATTCCACCCTTTCTACCGCAGCCGGCAAAGGAGAGTCTCCCCTACAAGTTCAATACGCAGCAATAGTGGTATATATTGATATCGGCCTATCTTTAGGCTGCGTCTATATTTCTATCTCTTGCTGTACGAAACATGAAGTTTGAGACCCCGGCCAAACCCCAAGCCTGATATCGGAATATCAATTCTCCAGGTTTAAAGAGCGCCCGGGCCACCAAGGGCAACCAGCGAATAAACATACTGAGAATAATCAATTGGTGGAAGTAGCTTACATAGATCTGGAGCAGCTGCCGAAGAGTTGTATGAGAAACAGTGCAAGACGAAGATGACCTCGAAAAAGAACTGCGCCTTTCCTGCCGGTCTATCGGTACTAGCACTCGGCATTCCCATTGTGAGATCTTGGGACCGCCATTTGGCTAACACTTACTGACTAGGGACGCTTCCTGATACCGCATTAGCCGGGCAATGAGGGGAATAAACCCACTTTATACATATAGAAACTGGAGTTAATAGTTAGTTGTACCAGGCGGTCAATTTAGCCGAAGCAGCCTATACTAGAATTCATATATCTCGTTCACCTCCCACCGACTTTTCTGTTTCGTTTCAACTCCAGGGTTACCGGAGAGAAAAGGGGGCTAGCGAGAGACAAGATGGTGTACTTGAGATACGGGACGCTTGCTCTGGTGGGAACGATACTCGGTGCTCAAGTGGCCGACTCTCATAGTCACAATGACGAGGGGCAGATACCGCTGAGCCAGGAGGAGCTGGAGCACAAATGGGCACCAGAGCTGGTAAGTGTATAACTAGTTATTGTTTTTTTTACCTGTAACTAGTATGTCTGTATGCTATAACTATGTATTCGTATGATAACGATGGAGATACAGTCTGCATTTACGACCATGGCTTTTTGGGGGGTGGTCTGAAGCACATCCCAT